GAGGGGGATAATACACAAAACAACATATTAAAATATACAACAGTCACAAATTCCAATTAATTTTACAGTGTTGTGTTAGTTTTCCAAGCTTCTAAGGATCTTATACTGCTTATACATTTCAGTGAAATTATTAAAATGGATGTAATTTTCCTTGTCTGTATTTTATGCTACTAGTCTGTACAACTGAAATACAGTCTTGTTGTTTTGATGGAGGAAAGCATCAAGAGTTCTTTCTTCAACAACAAAAAAGCACCAAGCATGGTGTGGAGACAACCAACCAAACTGAGCAGTTTGGTCCAGTGGCTAAAGCATCACGCTAGGAGACTATGAGTTCTACGCCCTGCTTAGGCATGAAACCAATTGGGTGACTTTGGGTCAATTACCAGGAGACTGTGAGTTCTAGTCCCACCTTAGGCAAGAAAGCTGGCTTGGTGACATTGAGTCAATCACCCAATGATTGATCACTGGACCAGTCATTCTCTCTTAGGCCAACCCATCTCACCAGGGTTGTTAATGTGGGGAAACAGGAGGAGGGAGTCTTAAGAATGTACACTGCTTTCGGTTATTTAAAAAATAATAAAAAGTGGGGATGAAAATAAATAAATAAACTTCAGAATGGGTGTTGACTAAGCTGTGTATGCATATTATAGCTATTTATCCGCAGAATCGATATTCCTCTGACCAGCAAGGATCTATGCACGACGCTCCTGGCAATGTCATAACAAAGGTTGCAGTAATTCGACTACCGAAATTCAACACATCACTAGATCAGTTTCTCTATTTAAATCAATTCCTAAGTTACCCATAGCAAGAACAGCAAATAAGTGAGACATGATCGATGAAAGGCCATATAAAAATACTGCAAAGAGGTAAATAAATTAATATCCCTGTATTCCAAATAATTGCTGTACTTTATAGAGGAAAATGAAAGCGTCTTATACAAAGGACAAATGTTCTTTTCGGATGGTTTAAAAAATAATAATAATAACAATGAACAAGGGCTCCAAAGCTCACCAATTAGAGCAGCGTTTCCCAACTTTGATGACTTTAAGGCTTAGGGAGTTCAACTCCCAGAATTCCCCAGCCAGCATGTTACCTGCAGAAGAAGCCGCTCGTCTCCGACGATGGATGATTTACTCCAATCAATCACCTCTGAAAAGGGCAGCTCCCACCCATTGCTGAGCAGGACCGGGATGCAGGCAGCCTGGACCAATGAGAGAACAGAGCAAGGATCACCAGGTTGCAGGAGAGGGGAGAGAGAGAAAATGACCTTGGGATCCTAAGGTTCAAAGGACCTTCAGTGCTGCTTACAGGTAGTCCTCGATTTACAACTGTAATGAAACATGCCATCACAGTTGTTAAGTTGTGGTAGTGATAAAGAGGGTCAGTTATGTGCCCAAGCGGAGTTTATGACGTCTTTTATGCTGGTCATTAAGCGAGCACTGTGGTCATTTAGTAAAACAGTGGTTCGCTGCAAGTGTGGTTTTGCCAAAAATGGGAAGTAAATATAGAGTTGTTGTTATGAGGAAAATAAGAGGGGGAAACGCTATTGTTTGTCACCTTGAATTATTTGTAAAATAATAAAGATGGGCTACAACTGAATACATGCAATAAATTTTAAATTTTGGTTGGAAAAAAAAACATTTGCAAGCAAATCACCTCGCTCAGAGTGCAAGGACCTCATTCTCACTTTCCTAACCGTGGCACCAAGATACCAATGTCATTTTTTAAAGCCATGTCCTACTGAGGCTGCTTTTATCTCATATCCAGCCCAGGGGTGAAATCCAGCAGGTTCTGGAGAACCTGGTAGCAGAAATTTTGAGTGGTTCAGAGAACTGGTAGGGGAAAATCTGAGTAGTTTGAGTAGAACCGGCAAATGCCACCTCTGGCTTGCCCTAGAGTGGGGTGGGAAGGGAGATTTTGCAGTATCCTTCCCCTGCCATGCCCACCAAGGCACACCCACCAGGCCACACCATGCCCACCAAGGCACACCCACCAGGCCA